TCATTTTTAAAAATGTTCTTATTTTTCCCCTGTCCCAGATCTGACTGTGCATTCGTCAGCTGACCTGAGATGTTAGCAATATATATGTTCAAAAAGAGCACCAGAGACCCTTGCTGCCCTCAGAGGATTTGTTGTCTCTAAATCTTACCTATGCTAAACTCAAATGCGAGCATATTTACTGCAAATGTTCCTTAATATGTCAGTTACTAAAAGCAGCATGCAAGGTTATAAAACCTTCAGTTCTGAAAAATAAACGAAAGGACAGAAGCAGGTAATCTTTGACACGTCGCAGTAACATGATACCTATGCCCCAGTGTCACAGCACAATTTTAATCTCCTAGAGTATTCTCTTAAGTGTACAACACAGCTTAAAAAAGAACACTGCAACATCCATGATTTTATTCTTAGATGTATTTTTTAAAAGGCAGTTAAATAATTCATACACTTATGTATAAAGATGGAATATTTATTTAGAAAGACACTAGTTATATAAACATAGATACCCTTGAATTATGCAGCATCCAGTTGCTACTCAGACAAACATAATGTATAATGACTAGAGATGTCACGGTTTTTAGCAGCATTTATGAATTTGGTCCTAGAAGTTTGATGATACAAGCAAAGCAGATGAAATGAAACCTGTAAGTACGTGATCTTTAGTTTACTGAGGTTTTACCCTGAAAAGTGATAAAGCCAAACAGCCAGTTCTAAATAAATGGAAGAATTACTGGTGATCAAAAGTATAGCAAGGGCTTCTGTTTTAGGTTATTTTGGAGAAAAGTAAAACCGTTTTTTGCATTTTTCTTGAAGAAGCAATATCAACACTGTAAATTATATTCTTGTTCATGCTTAATTTATTTTCCTTAAAGTTTTATAGAGTCAGTTTGCTTTCAGTTATGTACTTTTATTTATTATTTTTTTTTTTACTGCTACAACTAGTTGTTGACTTTTGGTAACTTAGTTGTGATTTGCTGTTGTCTTCCAAATGCTTACTGCCCATAATTCAGTTCTGTCCTTCGTTGCATCACGTGCCTTCAGAGTAACTTCTTGCCAATTTATATGAACTCTACATTCTATGAAATATCTTTCTTGCTGTCATCACAACCTTCTTTTCCTCTTAAATATGCTCTGAAGCAGACAAAAGTGAGAAAAGTGTTTGTTTGACTGAAGAGAATGCAGAGAATAGTTAGGCATGGTGGGTGTAGCTTGTTTCTGTATGTCATGGTACAGTAGATACCTCAGTTTGACTGGTTTTTGTTAATGGAACACCTCTTCAGGTGGAAAACCTTAGTGAAAACGGGAAAGAAACTCATATATATCTCCCTTTCTACAGAAATGCTCTTCATCAGTCTTTCTTCTGAAAAGTACTGAACATGACTGCCATCTCTAGCCATCAAAATTAACATTGCCACAGCATTGATGTTGTTAAACTGTAGAGAGAGGCATGAATACTGCATCATCCCGTTTATGTACCCAGTATTCTGTGTGTATATGGTTTTACAAATAATTTTTACAAGCGAATTTAGGAGGTTACATGTGCTGCCATTAGTTTATCTCTTAACCTTTTGACAATTAAGCATCATTTTAATTACATACTAAATGACATTTTACATTGGGGAGAGGGATTTTATTGTAAGCATCATCAGCCCACTGATAACTTTTCTGTTTCATTACTGTACTTCCTATTTCAGTAAATGACCTTCCACTAGTCCATTATTTAGGTCTCAGTGATCCCATTTGAAATTCTGGATTGTGAAATCGTGCTACTTTGGGTTACTAACAGGAAAAAAGAAAATACGGTTATAGAGTCTGTGGTTGAACATACTGTCAAAGATGAGCTCTGAAGCAATATAAAAATAATTTCAGCTGCACATGGGGGAAAATTGTAGTGTCTTAAGTCTCTGCCTAGTTATTTCTCTTATAAACATTTTTAGGGTGAGTAGATGTAAAATCTTGTGATCTGGAAAATGTTTGTTTTAAGGATTTAATTAGGGTAGCTACGTTGCCAAAAATCTGTGTTTGAACTGTGTCAGTGACTAATGGAAAGATAGTTATCTGTATTTTTAATTTAAAACTAGCATTCCTTGTCAGATGTATTTTAGAAAAGGAGGAAAAAGTTTGTTCCATGAAAACTGTTAGCAGTGATTTTTGGATTGTTCTAGTCCACATTGAATTGATACATGCCTTTATAGGTACGTCAAGGACTTACCGTCTTTTAAAAGATGTGGATAGCTTATTAGTTCCGAAGCCTAACTCACATTTGTGTGTGTATGCGCATGCTTGAGTCTATTTGTATCATTAATGTGCATAAGCCAAATCTTAAAATGTTGGTATCTATTTTTCAAAGCAGTTTTCAATGAAGTTAATAGAAAATATGTGACTTAGTGTCACAAACATTTTTGAAAAGCAGAACTATTGCATGTCTTTGTTGTTCCAGTCTCAGTTACTGTACACAAATACTTGTGCGTGGTTAATAATGTGTACACATTTCCAGGAGCAACAGCATGGCCAGTAATCAGAAATGAAACAAATAAGTACGTCAGTGTCTTACTCTATCTAGCCATTTAGCTTTCTGCTCATTCTCCAGTTGCACATCTCCATATACCTCCACATCCCCAGGTAGTGGACTTACACTGAAATTGGTGCTCTGTATTTTTGAGAACTTTTCATTTTGGAGCACTTCTGCTAATGTGTAGTCTTGCATGTTTTGTCTCTGAGCTGTAGGCCTTATGAAATCATCCATCGACAACCAATCTGCTCAGACAGTTGTGTCCTTTTTTATTATTTTTTTTCCCCTATGAAAGTGCCTTTGGGTGTCTTTTGTACAGATACTGCTGATTAATGGTTTTGATTAGACTGCCTTCTCCCCTCATGTAACCTGCGGAGCAGTAGACCAAGTGAGAGGTTTTGTAAGTTGCCCACTTCAGTAGTCATCGTTTTCGTTCCCTGTCAAAAAGATTCATGAGCCCACACTAATTACAAAGAATTTTAAGGCTTTCTAAGAATATTCAGTCTCATTATTTAATATTGATTCAAACTTAGTTACTGAATTTTTAATTAAAAATTACATTAAAAATGGGCCTGTTCAAGGATAGTTTAGTAAGAGGTTACTTGCACATAGACCTCTCTCAAGCCTCTAAGCAGTGGCCATGTGTTCCATAGGAAACATAACCCCAATTCTGCTTTTGCTTGATGCATTCAGTGGCACAAGAGGTGGAGGTATCACAGCATTTTTTGATGGATTTTCGTTTTCAGATTTATTTTTAATGGAGTTTTTAATGTTTTACTTGTGAAAACTCAGTAAGATGGCCTGTTTGACTTGATACATTTACTGTGTAACAAGATCTTATGTTTTGTGCTGTCTCTGACTTATACATCTTCAGCTTGCTATATAATGTATGTGTGGAAAATTTAAGTTGTTCTGAAGAAGCTGTTAGATGAGCTGGGAAAGTGGAGTTTTGGAATCTCAGTATGGGATGTTAGCATTTGGTGTCAGGCAGACACTTTGAAGTTGTGTGTTAAGAAATTACATGTATGCTTTCTGTTTAAATAGCCAGTGTTTGTCAATATTCATGTTTCTATACTATTCTTATTAGTGCTTCAGTTTATATTCATTCACAGTTCAAATGCTTCCATCTAAATTATTTAACTGAAATATTTTTTGCAGTTATAACAACTATTGCAGCATCCTTGATCATGCTTTTAGTTACAGAAATTCACCGTACTGCTCTTACGTGCCTACAGAAAGCTTTCTGTACCTCTTTGTTTGAACGTTTGTTTCCATCAAGCTGTCTGGTTTTGCTGTGTTTATTCTGTGGCCTGTGGCTAAGGCATGTTATGTTAGCTGAGGGCTGGAAGAAGCTGTGCTGATGTTTGCCATGTGCTGATTTACTGTTGCGTGATTTTTTCTTTATATGCTTATTTTTACACACATTTGATCTTGCTGTCTCATCACATTATTTTTCTAGACCTTGATCTGTCTGCTAGTTGGAAGCTGTGCGTTGGGGTCATGCTAATGTGTACTTACTTATCTTGGTTGATCATGTGGCAAGAAAACTCTGCACTTGACTTTCTTCTAAATGGTTGGCCTTTATTTACTTATTTTTAAAGGAAGTCTGTTTTATCGGCACAGCATACATGCTGAATTAAAACTTCCCCACTCTAACTTTTAAGTGATTCTTGCTCATGAATGATGCTAAATGGTTTCCCAGAAACCATGACACCATCCTTTTTCAGGTCAGAGGGTTGTAAAACAAGGAAATACAGCAGATTTCTACTTTTAGCTTGGATTGATTGGCTTCTTGTAGCTTGAACTATGCTGCCTTAAATTCTGGCTAGTGATGAGTTCAGTAGATACCAGTGCTTTGCTGTTTGCTCTCTGAGTGTGGTTGCTACTTCTATACAAGCAAAACTGTGGCCTGGAAATGCCACCGCTGCCATGTGCTGGAAGCAGCACTGTGTGAAGAGGGCCAGTGGAAGGTCAGATGCTTCTGTCAGTGTGTGTTACACTTCTTCTGTGAGTTACTATTCTGAGGCGCTTTTCTGTGTTAGTAAAATACAAGCATCTATTAGTACTTGTATATTAAATGTGTTTTATTAACTTTTTAGTTCATGAGCCATACTAAAGCAAGTGTAGTCCTCTCTTGTTTACCCACAATGCTGTTAAAATGGTGCCAGAATTTAAGCTGCCGTATCTTTTCTTTTTAGTGTGATTAAGGAGCTAAGATCAGTTTTTCCTGAAAAGGCCTGACCAGTTCAGCTGACAAAGTGTTAGTGTGCACACATACAGACAGACAGAGTTACTTAACTTGTATAAACTGTGCTGTATCATCTTTTCTAATGAAAACATTTTGCCTTGTTTGAAAGGAGTTCATCGTGTGCGTGGTTCGTTTGGCTCTCTGACTTCACTGTAGCATGAGAAGTCTAATAAATAAACTGTTGTTTTGAGTGCAACTAATTACTGTAGAATGCCAATTGTAACTCTTCATTCCCTTCTGCAGAATGACAGGAAGAGAGTTTTTCTCTCGGTTTCCAAGTCTTTATCCTTTCCTTCTCAAGCAGTTGGAGCTTGTAACGAATACTTTGAACAGGTAAGACGATATCTCAGGATGCTTTGAAATATAAAGTGCAATGAAAATATTAAACTGAGTTGTCACATATACCCTAATGCTGTTCTTTTCATCAGTGCTTCTTGAAACGATGTAGTAGTTCTAGTGCTAAGGCTTTTTTCCTGTAACCTTTGCATACTGCAGTAAGTCTCTAGAGTACGAACTACTGTTGAGTAACTCGTAGTTGCTGTGTTCCTGGGATCAGATGTTAAAGAATATGTATTTATCAGGGAAAGACACAAACTGGGTGTTTGACTGTCTCATGTTTAGTGGTGAGACTTCCTGAAATGTTTAAGTGATACAGGGTCATAGGCCTCACATAACCCTAAATTAACACTTTTCAGCCTGTGACACACTGACTCTGGGGAACGTCCTTGATCTCTTTATAAGGATTCTACAAATGGTGGCTGAGAGCTCCAATTTGATCAATGCAGACGATACCGTTTGGGATGACGCTGATGCTGTTACCCCTGGGTTCATGAACTTTTAAAGTAAACCAGTGCTGACTTTGTTTTTTCTTAAAATACTATGGTATAAACTGTGGAAGTTCAGCAACTGATTTACTGGTGAGGTTCAGCTGTCTGTTTAATGGGTCTGAGGTGGATTCCTTGGAGCAGGAGTTTCACCAGTCATTGCATGTTTTCCAGTCTCTGCTCTAAGAAAAGAGGGTGTATATATTCCACACAGCAGTCTGCTCTTCCTGACATTTCAAAAGGTGACAGTGTCATCACTGGAAAATTTTCGGAAGTCTTTAAACTGAAAGATTGAAAACTGCTGCCTTAAATTTTGTCCTTGTATGCTTTTTTCAATGCAGATTAAGGCTTGTATCTTATTCATAATCGTTCAGTAAATCAAGAAGTGTTGAATTGGTTTGGATTTCTGATTGTTTTTAGAGTATGAGTAGTAGCCATTTGGTGTCAACGACAAGGACCGTTCCTTAGTAAAGCCTGCTATTTGCTAAATGCGCATTTCTTTCCAAACTGAAAGACTTTACTTTTAACCATCTTTTTGTAATCCAGCTTTCTCAGTTTCTCAGTTCCTAGAGAACCACTGTCTGTGCCATTTTTAAATGTTATTTAAATGCTAAAGCAGCTCGCCATTATTAGGAATAAAGGAGGCTTGGGATAATATAGGAAAGCAAAGGCAGCACATCCTTAAGTACGTTCATACAGGGGTCCCTGGTGGTGCTGTAGGAGAACTGAATGCCATGTTTGATCCCAGCAAGGTTTGCACTTCCTTGCAGTGATCAGCCTAGTGTGCCTCCTTGCACCAGAAGGGTATTGTGTGTGGAAGAGTCTCAAGACTAGCATGAAGGAGGATGCTTTTTTCACCAAATGCTTCTCACTGCTTTTTTATCTAGTGAAGCTGAAGACTTGAAAATCCATCCAAGCCTGTTCCTTCTGCTTTTAATCCTGGGAAGGCTGTATCCATCTCCAATGGATGGCACTTTCTCAGCACTCAGCATGGCACCGTTTGTCCCATTTATTATAAGGTAAGGTGATTTTTTGGCATTTTTTTATATGATGGGAGTTCTTTCTTGAGTCGTAGGATCATAGAATGTGTTGGGTTGGAAAGGATCTTTAAAGATCATCTAGTCCAACCCCCTGCAGTAAACAGGGACATCTTTAACTACATCAGGTTGTCCACTCTTGTAGTCACTCCATTGTAGAAAGCCACCAGGTTGGTCAGGCAGGACTTGCCCTTAGTAAAGCCTTGCTGACTGGCTTGAATAACCTCCATGTCCTCCATGTGCCTTATCAGAGGCACATCTGATCTTTGGAATTGTTAATAAAATGCCTTTTTAAGTTCTCTTCAGCTTTAATTCTTAAAGAAAAAATTAATATTCATTGCTTGGACTTTCCTATGTTATTAATGCTTGTTTTGGGGGATTAGAAAGAATTTCAGCTCATGCAAGCCCACATATAACGTTTTTATAAATCTTCATCTGCAAATGCTGTACAGCATGATTGTTGCCACAGACAGGGTAGATGAAAACTGATGAGCGTGACTGACTTCAGCAATGCAAGATTTGCTGTACAAACTTCTGATGGGTTTTTCAGTTCTGCAGAATGATTGTTTATAATACATAAAACTAATGACTAATACATAGATTTGTAGATGTGCATGCATATATATATTCACTCCATATCAATCCATCCATAAAAATATAGAGCTAAAGATATGGATGTGTCCCATATCTAATATATTTCTAAGATGACTTTTCAAGTTCTTATATAGTTTAACTTTCATTTATATGGTGTTTGCATCAAGATATTCAGCAGATACTTTTGCTATTCTGTACGCCTCTGGTGTGGGATGGAGAGCCTGAACAGGGCTGTGGTGGGTGAGGAGAAATGAGCATAATTGGTATTTGAGAGGAAGTCTTGCTATCTGTGTGAAAGCTTCAGAGCAATAGGGTGAGAAGGTTCTGTACTTAATCTTGCTCCATTAGTAGTGAAATAAGATAAAGTTGTTGTTATCCCAAGATCTTCCAGTTTGTATTTTAAACTACTGTTTATGTTAGAAATTAATAGTAGCTCTGTCTGCTTATTCTTCACAGCAGCTGTGATGTATCTTTTGCTTCTTACAATTTTTGGAAGTTTCAAGAATAAATAACATTTTTTAAAAGGAAAAAAACACTGTAGTAAGAGTTTTAAATGTACTTTATTTAACAATTTAAGGTGTTTGGTTTTCTGCTTTATTTGAATCTTACATACTTTCCGGGGACATGTTTAAAACTGTATTTTTTGATTAAATAATTGATTAGCTCTCTTCTTATGCCTCTGTTAAAACACCGGAGAATTCTTATTTGTTTATTATCTTTAATAATATGTTTCAGTATAGTTTCTGTTATCGGTAATAGATTAATTTTTGATAAGCTTGGTTACAGGCTCTGACTTCTGCCTTTATATTTATATTTTATATTTATATTTATATTTATACCACTACTTTTGGCAAGTTACATACACTAGCAAAATAGCTCTTCGCACTGAATTAGCTTTTTCTCATGAGGTTATTTAACTCCATTCAGAAGATGGGGGAAGAAAAACCCAATTAAAGCTTTAAAAGAAGAACCTGAAACATTTAAGAGTCCTGTATCATTGGACCTGACTTCCATTAACTGTGTTCCTGAAGAGGAGTGGTGCGGCAGATGTGCGGCAGGGTGATGTTTTCTGCATTGCTTTTTCATTGAATTTGGCAGTAAGCACTATGGATACAGTTATAAGACTAGAATAAAAATCCTATGTGTTTCAGACAGAAAATTGTTTCTGACTGTACGGACATGCATTTTCTGACAGGTTCCTTAGCAAAGCATTGGCACTTTTTATGATTGCCAGGGGACAGTGCCAAGGATTCTAGAGGGGGAAACTTACGTATTTATGATACAGCTCAGTGTGCTGTTACCGGCTGTATTTCTGTGTACAGCTCCTATGTCCTTGTTCTGTGAATACCATAATTGTTTTCAGGTCACTCTGACTGCATTAGGGGTGATTTACCTGAGTAAGATTAATATGTTGCTGTTTTCCTTTCTGTTTCTCTTCCTGTTTTCCATTCTGTGGAGCAGATGAACTAATATAAAATCCTGTGCATTTGGTTGTTCTTTTAAGGGTGATAAGATTGTTGTACAGTAACCACTTATCACAGAATCACAGAACGTTAGGGAT